TTAATTTATTTTGATATGGGACATGCAACGCAAGTGGCTTTACATTATTAAGATTAGTTTCCTAATAATAATAATGAGCATAGTTTGTAAGGTAATAATCACATCAAATAATAATAATTTGCGGGTAAATTATAAATTAGTCAATATAATCGCAGCGTGGAGTTCTACGTGGAAAGGTGCAGCACATCAGAAAAAGACATGCTTTTAATTTGTTTAGTATTATATTAAGTACGGAAATCAGGTTAATCGGCGTAATGTTGGGAATCAAACCTATGATTAAATGTTAAGTGATAGAAGAATTTAGAACTAATGACGCATTGCACTTAGTTTTGTTGGAGATTAGGCATAACATAATTATAACAAAAGATATCATGTTGCGCCTCTCTTGATCCTTAGCTTTCGTTCTAGTAGTATATCCTTATTTAGCCCATGTGAAGTGGGGATTAGCTTTAATTAATAAATTTTTTTTTGATGGAAAGCTTTAATAAATTAATAAAGCTAACGATGACTTTTTTTTTTTTTATGGGAAATAGAGAAATATATTAAGTACAAAGAAATTACAACAGAATTTTCATTTTATAACATATAGTCAAAATCAAAATAACCTAAAGACAAAATTAGAAGTATAACCTACAACATTAATATCAAATTTAAACTATACCTATGACAGATAAAGACAATTAAACAAAGAGAGCCGCCATTTGCAATTATGGATTGAATTTATAATCGTTGTATGGGTTAAATAAGGTTACTCATGTAGAAAAAGAAGTCACTGTGAGCATTAAAAATTATCGGACATCCTCACTTTTAACCATCTTCTTGGGGAGAGTAATGGATTCCGACAACAAATAGTTCTTAACCCATAAGTTGCCGCCCTACTTGTTCTTTAAGAAGAACAACCAACAAGGGTATAGGCCCCTTGTTGCCTCCGTATATTCCTAATCATGTTCCCATCTTTGCCAGTCCTCTTCAAACCCATGCTATTGAAACTCGTTAAGGGAATTAGAGCCCATTTGCCGGCTTGAAAATCAAGCTTCTCTTGCTGACCATAGTCGGCCTTACCAACAACATTCCTTTCCTTCGGCAATTGGCTAGTTGATCGGGAATTGATGTGAACTAGATTTGCCGAATTCGACCCCCACCAAGATCCCATCCAAGGAGATGCACCAAAGTGAGATTCTTGGTAGTTAAATAGGAGAAACCCGCTTCACTTGCAAGATCAATTCCAATCGCAGCTTTTGAAAATCAATAGATGTAAACCCTAAGAAACCCAAAAAGTCACTGCCTTGTGGTCCTTTGGATTGGAGTTTCCAAAGCAAGACAGTGACAAGATGAAGGAGGAGATCAAGAGGAGGAAGGGAGGGGTAAGAAGAAATGAGGGATGAAGGAACTTCTCTGTCAAAGAGAAAACCTAGGGAGGAAAACCCGTTGTTATTGCTCTTAACTCTAGAAGCAATGCATGGGAGAAACCCTAGGGAGCAGAAACCTTAGGGAGCCTTAAAGAGGACTTAGTTTGCTTATCAATAAAATAAAAAAAGTCTAACATAAAAAAAAAAAATTCTAATCTTTTGTGCCTAAGACACATGTTAAATGTGTAATTATTATTTTTTTTAACATTAATAAAAATACTATAATTATAATATTATGTTACATTATAAGTTTATAAAAAAATATATTGTTATATAATTAATTTTTTTATTCATGAGTCTACTCATAATATTATAAATATCTACTCGTTTAAGGAAAAAAATTTAGAGGCAATTATTTTGTACCATCTCTTGGTACAACCTTAGGTGTTACTTAAATATTTGATTCTTTTTGTTCATTTGGCTTTGTTGATATTGAGTATATCCATTCTTTTAATAACATGTAAAAATTTTTTAAAAGGTTATACAAAAAAATTATCTCTATGTTACTATCTCTCATTTAATAATACGTCTTATTCATTTAATATCCCATAAGATTGTAATTATAGTATTACCTTTAACATTAATCAAAACTGAAAAATATAAAAATTGACGTTACTTTCACCACTAGTTTCACACGAATCATTTTAACTAAATAATTGCTTAAATAAAAATTAAATTTTAATTGTTTTAAATGATTTAATATAAAAAATACAATAATTACATTTTCTAGCACAAGTTAAAAAAAGGAAAACAAAAAATAAAAGAGTAGAGACAACCCTTTTTGTTCGGCCTAACCAATATTGGGCCTCAAACTTTGAAGCCCAACCAAAATTTATATTTGGGCTTAAGGATAACCCAAGGCCTAACATCCTCTTTGCCTTCCCAATCTCAGGCCCTTCAGCTGTTCTTCCTGGAACCCAGAGGAAGAAAGAGATAGATAGAAACAAAGGTCAATCCTATAGTTCCAATAGTAAATATTACTTAGGATTGTAAATTTATATTTTATAAAGTGGCATTAGATAAATATAATTTATTATTTAATAAATATATATATATAATATTACAAAAAAAATTTTAAAAAAATAAATTATATAATCAAATATCATATTGTAATTAAACTATTGTAACTATGTTACTTTTGTAGGAAAAAAAAAAAAAACTCAAAAAATTCATCACATAATTCCACAGAACCGAAATACATACATACATTGGCTATTAATAGTAATATTTTATAACATCGATCAGAGCTTCTTCCATACTAATATACACACAAAAAAAAAATCAAAAAAATTAATGTAAATATACACATTAATTCTTGTTGAGACCTTCTCCCAAATAGAGTCAATCAGCAAATTAAAAACCTTAAGGAATTCTAATTCCGGGGCTGGGAAGGAAGGAATTAGTTAACTGAACAAGCTTGTTTTCGGTAAGCCATAGAGAAGAACAGCTCCAGATCAGGTGGCTGGAAATATCCATCCTTCGGTGGCTCCCTCTTCTTCCCGAACGAAAACGGCTTCTTCTTCGGAGGTGGAGGACACGCTGACGCCGCAGGTATCCGATAATCTCCTCTCCTCGGAGTTGACCGGCCGTCCTGCTCTTCCACCATCATCCGCAGCACCTCGTCGTACGCCGCCTCTTCCCTCATCTGTTGGTGAAATTGGTTTTACGGATTCTGCTTTTAACGTGGGAGGAGGGAGGGAGGGAATTTTGAAAGAGTACTGGGCGTGTGGGTGGGTGGTTCTGGAAGAAGCGAGGGAAGTGAGGACTTTTTTGTGGCTGTGGTGGTCACAGATAAGCATTGGGTAATTTTCCACGTGTCTTGCTGCGGTTGAGCTTCGTTCTACGTGGAAGACACGTGGCTAAAGCTTAGAGCTCCGTGTTTTTTGTCCGGCCATTTGAAATTCTTGGCGCCAATTATACGTCCGAGGTAAAGCGCGGGAACTTCTCTCCACCGCTCGTTTTTAAAAGAGGGTCATCTCATAATTAGGAAGTATACTTACGATCACACAAACAAATTATTAAAACTATAAAAAAATAATGGGTGGTATTATAAGGATAATTTTTTTATATTATTTTTATATATAATTTTTATATGTTATTAAATAAAATGATATATTTAATATTACGAGTCTCACATGAATAAAAAAAATTAATCATTTAAATCACACATCAGTTTATATCAAAAAGTGGTATAAAATAATTGTCCCAAAATTATTTTCCCAAAAGTAATATAAATGTGTTTAATTTGACAGTTTAAAATGATTAATAATTATAACTGTTAATTAATAGTAAATAGAATAATTAATATCTATTATTTATCAGTTTAAAATCAACTTATAAATTAATGTTTCCAAGCACCTTGGTAAATATGTGTTGATAGAATCATACAAAGTAAACATAGTTACAGTATTTTGTGTGACTATAACAATTTTTTGTGTGGACATAACATGACTTCATAATCTTTCTCTCTCTTGATATTAACCTAGGGAGATTTTGTATAAATAAGAACCTTTTAAAACTTTGTTAATTAAGGATATAACATTCTTTTATTAATCAATATTATTACATTTTAGAAAGTTTTTAATCAAGAATATTATTTTTACAATTTTATTTAAAAAATTAAGTGGATGTGCATGATTATATCTTTGATTAAAAAATTTTTAAAAGATGAATAATCTTGATTAATAAAATTACAAGTCATATCTTAATTAAAAGCTTTTAAAAGGTAGTGAGTCACTTTGATTTGTAAAATGGTTTCTAGTAGTGCTAGTGGTTACTAGTTGGGAGAATGTTTTTTGTTTTTTAATCCAAATTCTCTTGTGTTTTATAGATGAAGAAATTTGAGATTTAAAAAAAAAAATTTTTTTTTTAAACATTGAGAAATTGGATAGTTTTACGAAGATAAGAGTTGGTTAGGCCCAAAAAGAAGACACAAAAAAGAAGGTGAATGTGATAAGGCCTACTTGACATCCAGGCCCTGAAATGGTAATGTACGTACAGCCCAGTCCGCAAACCTCTTTTATCACTTCCTTTTGCCTTCATTCATTTCTTAGCTTTTCTTTTTCTCAAGTTGCGGTTTTGAATAGTACCCGCAGTTGTGGCTCCATTGTAGGATGCACCTTTGATCATGAATTCCATCATGATTTAATTTCTTGTAATGTCTCCCTTCTTTTAATTTTTCAATGTTCCAAAAAAATGCGGTTTTGAATAGTTAATAATTAGTTAGAATCTAGAGAAGCCTTTGGTTCAAAACCTTATTCCCAAGTATGTAAAGTTGCGCGTGCTAGACCCAACTTCTAAGTCATCTATAATATAGATGAGATTAGTGGATTCATGAATTGTGAAGATTTACCTTTTT